TGTAAAAGAAGATTAGTATAACATCGAATCAATAAAAAAAGAAAAAAAACAGGTGGTCAGGCAAATAAAATTATTATTTTGAAAATTTTTAATTTATATCAAATCTTTTATTTTTACACTATATATGAAAATAATTTCAAAAAAATATAATGTAATTATATATCTTTACCGTTGTTCATTTAGGTTTGACTTTAAATTTGGAAAATTACAGATACATCTCAAATGTATTGTTACATAAGAATTATCCAAGAGCAGATTCAAACGTATCGTTACATAACAATTATACAATGGGGGTTCAAATGTATTGTTACATAACAATTGTACAAGGGGAGGCTCAAACGTATTGTTACATAACAATTATACAAGGGGGTTCAAACGTATTGTTACATAACAATTATACAAGGGGGGTTCAAACGTATTGTTACATAACAATTGTACAAGGGGGGTTCAAACGTATTGTTACATAACAATTATACAAAGGGGTTCAAACATATTGTTACATAACAATTGTACAAGAAGAGGTTATCGGACTTTGTTAGCTGTTCAAAATGTTTGAAACTGAAGCCGTACATCACGGAATAAGTTTGTAACTTGGAAAATATAAACAGTATCATTAAAGTTAAATAACTGCAAACCAATTGTTTCAATCTTTAGACTGGTTTTTCCTAGAGTGTTTGTATTATAAAATAATGAATTGATACAGTTAGATATATCTAAAATAAGCCAGAATATCTGATTTACTTATACATTTTTTCGTTTTCAAACCAACTTCTCTTCAACCTGTCATAAACTTCAAAATACGTACGATTAATTGCACACTTTGTTTTTTGTTGGAAGGGAATCTTGTATCAAACATGTGGTCATAGTTTATAACTTTCCAATCTTAAACAAAAGGTAGAGAAATCAGTGTTTCTTGTGGGAATGGGACCTTGTATGAAACATGTGGTCATAGTTTATAACTTTCCAATCTTAAACAAAGATAGAGAAATCAGTGTTTCTGGTGGGAATGGGACCTTGTATCAAACATGTGGTCATAGTTTATAACTTTCCAATCTTAAACAAAAGATAGAGAAATCAGTGTTTCTTGTGGGAAGGGGATCTTGTATCAAACATGTGGTCATAGTTTATAACTTTCCAATCTTAAACAAAAGATAGAGAAATCAGTGTTTCTTGTGGGAAGGGGGTCTTGTTTCAAACATGTGGTCATAGTTTATAACTTTCCATCTTAAACAAAAGATAGAAGAAATCAGTGTTTCTTAACATAAGTATACGACGTTGTTTGTTTAAAAAAAATTCCGTGTTTGTATAAGGGGGACATCCATATTATTTACGTCTGTAGATATCATACAATCTGATGGCAGCGTATAGTATTTAGCTTTTAAAGTATATTCAAATCGAAGTTTATAATATCATTTTCATAGCTTATCTCAAGACCAGTCTTTCTCGAACTCTGAATTCTTGGCTTTAGGACTCGTTGTTTTTTGTTTGTTTGTTGTTGTTGTTGTTCCAAATAATATTCAAATAAGAACAGTGTACATATTATTTTAACTTGTATATTATTTTTAAAAACATTTAACAACTGGATTTATTACTATTCGAATACAAGCTTCAATGGATAACTCTAGCATTCACTAATCTGGGTGAAATTGTCACTGGCGTACACTTAGTACCAGCCGTTAAGTGCAGTAAATCTGAAGAAAATGTGAGCACAGCAGCTAAGTCAAATAACAACGATGGTCAAAGTAACACGTGAAATAAGAACAGTAGAGCTGTCTACGGTATTTCCTCATAAACATCGCCGTCTACAACAATAACTGTCTTCCAATTTCCTGTCACAAAGTTCTGCTGTCGAAACACTTTCAGGAAGATGACCCTCTTCATCATCTGTAATGTAAAAACACAGACGAGTCCTTTTTCTTTCTAAAGAGAGAATGTATTATTCTTTTAGTAATTTATAATTTTTAACAAGTAGTACTTTCCGTTCAAATATTTGTTTCACTTAATGAACATAAAGAGTATGATATAGATATGTACATACAATTACATATATAAATATTTACATATATCTTAAGTCACAGCATATAAGTATAATACGTTTCTCTACCAATATTACTTACCACAGTACCATGAGATCTGTATTTAACTTTAGCAGATTTTCAGATGAATAAAAGAAATATTACAAAGATCAGAACGCAATGTACGAAGCATAAAAAATATATCAATTGACCGAGTAATGTACATATTAGCTGTTGAAGGGGAGAGTTTTGGTTTTTCTTTAGCACTGTTGTCTTCTGTAAGTAAACTGTTTACGGAAACCAGAAAAAAACCCGGAGAATTTGTTTCAGATAACGTGGTGCTAGTTTTTTGTAAACAAGAAATCCCACAGGTTCGACTTTACAGTCTCACGTGATAACAGTAATAATTTTGGAAATTAATATTATACTGTTTGTTTGTTGTTAAACGCAAAGCTACACAATGAGCTATCTATACTGTACCCACCACGGGTATCGAAACCCGATTTTTAGCGTTATAAACCCTCAGACTTATCGTTGAGGGGCACTAACATTATGACTAAAATAATATAACGATATTCTTCCATCAGTGCTCTGTTATAACTTTTTAGGGTTAAGAATCAAACGGTTACAATCGCAGTGATCCAGATGAAAGTTTCAAACTGTAAACTGGTACATATAACCAACTAGTTCTACTTTTAATCGAATCCTCGTTCCACCAGCCGTGGGGGCGTTATAGTGTGACGGTCAATCCCAATCTTCAGTGGTTAAATAGTAGCCCAAGAGTTGGCGGTGGGTGGTGATGACTATCTGCCTTCCCTATAGTCTTTCACTGCTAAATTAGTGACGGCTGGCGCAAATAGTCCTCGTGTAGCTTTGCGCGATATTCAAACTAAACCAAACCAAATCTACTTTTAATTTTATAGTTTTATCCACCAGTATTTTCAGCTATATAGATTTGGAAGTTGGGGTAACTTTAATAAAAACATGTTTATACACGAAAGGAAATTTTTCTTCCGTATCCATTCGTAATATCGGCATCTTAGTTACCAGTGAAATCGTTTAAAGTTTAAAATGCACACGGAAGTTAAATTCAGGAATTCAACGTTCAGCTACCAGATTTCAAAGAAAATTAAAAACACGTCTATATTTTTCATAGCATATCGAAAATCAAAGTAAAATAAAGAAGAGATAAAGCAGTTTTGTGATCATTTCAGTTGTTTACAGAATGAAACTATATAATATAAATCACGTTGCTATAGCAGTATATATAGGATATTTTTTTATAATTTCACTTGTTAATTTGATATTAAAATGCTTTGAAAACGTTATTCAATTCAAAATAGATATTTCTTGATGTATTTGTCTCTTGCGTAATATTCAGGAATTCAACGTTCAGCTATCAGATTTCAAAGAAAATTAAAAACACGTCTATATTTTTCATAGCATATCGAAAATCAAAGTAAAATATTAATAGTTATCGGAAAAACCATAATATGAGAAGAAAAATCAGATCCCCATCTCATCGCGATTAACTCACTCCTTTTAAGTAAGCAGTATGATCCCCATTTCTTTTTACTATCATGAGATACAATGTCAACTCTCTTCTCCTGGCACTTGCCATTATTTTCAAGCTCGTACCCTGGTTGGACAGCGGCAAGTCTACAAACTTACAATGCTAAAATCCGGGGTTCGATTCCCCATGGTGGCCACAACAGACAGCCCAATGTGATTTTGTCATAAAACAAACAAAACAAATAAAAAATGTTTCAACCACTTAGAGCAACACATAGTCCCAAAATGATGCAGCTGACACTTACTGAAATGCATGCGGAACAAGTGCTCATGAAGGTTATACAGTGCCTTGCAAAAGTATTCACCCCTCCAATAATGTCACATGTTGATGAAATACAAATAATGTAAACAATATTTTTAATGAACTTGTTTTTATTCAAAACTCTAATGATCAAATTTAACAACCCTATTTTGGATCAGAAATGGAAGTTACCCTCCCAAAAGGCATCATATCTACCTCATGACAAAATTTAACAACCCTATTTTGGATCAGAAATGGAAGTTACCCTCCCAAAAGGCATCATATCTACCTCATGACAAACAAAGTCCTCATAGATTTCACGTAACTTTATATTGGCTGTGATTATCATGTGACCAGTTGATTTGTGTATTCAAAATCGTTTTAATATAATGTTCTGAATCCTCTGTATTTCTCAGTAGAATCAGATGTATGTGTTAATTAATTCAACGGAAAATACAACTATCCAAAAATGTATACTTATAATTATTTTATACTTTATTTTGTGGAATGATCTGAATTATATATTCTAATTATTTCATATCTTCACAATAAGAATTCCAGACTAAGAGAGTTTATTTTATTTTATTTGGAACCTTATATTTAACTCACAAAAATCAGCACCAGGCCTGATTGTTACTTTTAAATATTTTTGCTATACACTGCACAATTTTATGGTTTCACCCCCCCCCCATGTGAATCCTCTCACGGCTTTTAACCATTAGTTTCATATTCTTAACCACACAAAGTTATGGCCTCTCTCCAGTGTGAGACAGCACATGAACCTTCAGTTGAATATTTGTTCTAAAGTTTTTCCAAACACACTACACAGCTGTATAATTTTCACAATGTATTCGATGACGAGGAACCCACTTTGAGACTAATAATGGCTGGAGACGGCTTAAATGGGTAATGAAGAA